AAGAAGTTAGGTATGGCACTGAATCATCCTCACGTTTTGAGACCGTTTGACGCCCTGTAAAAATATTTGTTTTTTATAAATCACAAAAAAGTTTTTGGAAGAAGGCAAACACAAAGGTCACACACAGAACATCCTTTTATTTGTTAAAAATGAAATCAGAGCTTTTAGACACACTGTTAAAGCTAGGGCAGGCAACGTTGGAGAACTAGTAATGAGACAGAACGCCCCGACCCCCATCATTTGAACCCACTGAAATGACCGGCCGTGTTTATTACAGTCCTGCGACAGATACTGGATGTTTGATTCATTGATTGCTGTCGAGATGTAAAGAGATTATAATAAAAAGCGCAGTTCTGAAATAAACTGCCTGCCCTAGCTTTAAGTTGCAACTTAACTGAAATATAGTGTAGCAAATAAATTAGATTAAACTTCCTGACATCCTGCTGATGTAATACTTCTTTGTCCATTCAGTGCAGTCTCCACACGCCGCAGCATAAACGGATAACTTTAATCCATGCAGGGCCCTGATCTTTGGACATGGATATCTGTGTGATCCAGATATTAGGGCTGTAAGGGTTCTGAAACAGAGACAGACACCGCGACAAACTTCCACGGTCTCGTATCGCGGATTCGATGGACAGAACCGTGACACACCCACTCCCCGGGCTGTTGGGCTCTCATTAAGCTTAACTGTGGCGGCGGCAGCTGTGCTGGGGCAGGGTGGCGGTGTAAAACGGATTTGTATTTGATATTTCATTTTCAAAGTCTTAATCTGCTGTACATTGGACAGTATTCAAATGCAATAAGTGGAACATCCCCCCAGCTCTACCTAACGAGCTGGGTGCACATAGGAGACATTTGCCTCAGGCCTTTCTGCCAGAAAGCCTTTAAGAAGTCAGGTGACGTAGCATAAAGTGTGACACAGTCAGCGTAGGGATGAGGTTGGATGGATGGATCTAACAGAAACACAATATTTTCACCGTGGGGGCCGCTGTTTGTGTCCCACAGGCTGGATGAATAACAGTGTGCTGGCAGATTTCTTTTGGGCTCTCTGGGCTGGAGTCATAATATGAGTTTAGTTTTATGGCTCTCTACAAATTCTCAAGTTGGGTTTGTACAGTCATTTAACCTCTTAACATGTTCAGCCGATCAGAGTTGATAAATATGGATCATAACTGCCCCAGAATCATTAGGTGGATATCTTAATCATCATGATCAGAACCTGATGTGTGTCTAGAACTCTCATCAGTTAAAGGGGCTATATGTAGTTTTTCAATGAAACATTAGAGCCTCACTGTCAGCAGGCTCTAACGTCACTCATAAATAAGGCCTGTTTTTTCTGTTGGATCAGCCATTATTCTGTTTTAATGTGAAGGAACCGGGTCGGGTTCTCTGCGTGCGACAACAACACAGCTAATGATATGCAGTCCACTAACACCACAAAACAACCGGCTCCCAGCTCCTAACGCCGACTAATTGCTAATTTTATCTGGTACGAAATACTACAGTTATCCTGTGTACCACTGGTATTATGTTGTGTTAAGTGTTAATTTACCGCTAAAAAGCAAACATGGAGCGTTTTTTTTTTATACTAGCCTATAGCGATGCAGCCAGCTACTTCAGCACAGATCCACTGTTGTTTGCTTCATAACGTTCAGTATAGATTTATTGTGGTTTTACTGATACTCTGGTAGACAGCTTCTCCACCTCTCAGTCGCCCACATAATCTACAATAATGCAACAAAACAAAGTGGAAGACTCATTCGCTACAGTAATGTTACTTACTGTGATAAAGTGTGACAATCTCATTATAATATTCAGTCCAGCTCACTAACGGTTTCATTATCATCCAGTACATGTAGCTGTGCTGACATTGCTGCCTCCGGTGACAATGCTCAGATAGTAAAGATAGTTACTGAAAAGCAGCAGGCGAGCTAATGGATATGTGTCACGTCTGCTAAATGCAGTCAGTGTACCGTTATCATGTAATGAGCATGGATTAGTTGAACCTCGAGCTCATAAATATAAAACGCTGCAGTGGGAGTTGACCTGAGTTTCCAGCACGTTGTGTAATACTGTCTCCTGGTGTTTTGGTCGCTGAAAACATACATACATATTACTCCTTTTAAAATAATTTAAACACACACAAAAAAGCAGAAGTTTTTATTGTCTTTTGATATTCTCACAATAATCATCTCTTTAGACTGTGCTTAGCCTCTTATCTCTGGTGAGATTTGAAACCAGCATTAGTTCTCATGTAGTAAACAGTGTGACAGAAAGTAGATCAGTTCTTTTTTAATATGATTATGTTTACATGCACACAAGCATCCCAGCGTTGAGTCTTCTTATGGTAATATCTGTGACACAGCATTTTCATGGAACGTGGAGAAACCTGGTTATCCAGCTCCCTGTAGACATGATTCTAACAGTGTCCAGGTTTCTGATAGTGAGGGCTTGTCCTGTGGTGGCGAATGATGAGTGTCTTCTAGCCTAAATGGCTGCAATTTAGGAATTACATTTGTAATCAGTGGAATCAGCATAGTGCAGATTTGCAGTACATTATGTAGATCCATGTCTTTCATTTTTCAAAATCAGGATTTCAAAGTCATTTCTGTAGCGACTGACTTACCTCAGCAGCTGGGACTGGACCCAGTGTAGTTATTTTATCAGAGCGTTCATAGCTTTCTTGACCTTGCCTGTAGTGCCACCATCAGGTCATGTGTCCTTGTTGTGTCCTGATTTTTGGTACGCTCATTCATTTTCCCACATGAATGAGTTCCTATACTTTAATGCCCTCATGGCCTTTCCTCTAGCACCACCCTCAGGAGGTTTACAATCAAAGACCGGAAACCAGGAACATGTTTGAACCTTTAGGCCAGACTATGACAATTGATCCTGCAGTGTAATCAATAATCCTGTGCCTTAAATATATATAGCTGATAATGTGAGCAGCTCAGTGAGCCCCTGAGACAGACTCACGATTAATTATGACAGCTCATGACATTTCTTCAATAGGAGCCACACACACAGCGAAGTGTTTCCCATAAAAACCGTGTAATTATAACTGTATATCACACAGGCGGCCACGCCCCAGCAGCCAGACAAGATGCTAGTTATGTGGAGCAAGGAATGTCCCATCCTAAACGTTTACATCTGAACCAGATATGATCCTGCGTATAATTCATGGGACTGATTATGCATGAAGCTGTGTGCTCTGTAATTACAGCAGCATAAGATTAGTACATGGATGATGGCTGTAACTGTCCCCAGAGCCCCAACAAATGCTGCCGGCTCTAATGTGTGATGTGCACACTGTAGACAGCTATTGGCTCCAAATAGTACTATAAATATAGTAGTATTTTGTATTTATAATAATATGCGGATGTCCATCACCTGAGCTTGCTGTTGCCTTTGTGTGAATGTGTGTTTAAGTTTCTTCTCCTTGGAACTTGGATATCTTTCTCTTGCCTGATGAGACACGCCCTTTCACAATGTTCTTCCTCATCATCTACGGGGCTGTGCGCTCTGTGTAATTATGGCTGCATATAATTAGCATACATAACAGGGAAAGCTTTTCAGAGCCGCCATGATGGATGCAAGTGGTTGTGCAGTGCTGATGGTCCCAGAGGATGCAGCGATTGTTGCTCACATACAGTAGTTTCCCTATCTAACCTCGCAGTGAAACACAGACAGATGTGTCTCTCCCTGTGTGTGTGTGAGTGAGTGAGTGAGTGTGTGTGTGTCTCCTTATATAGCATGTGTGTAGAGGGAGAGGCTGGGGTTTAGATGCAGAATGGGCTCAGCAGCTGTATAGATTAGATAGGTGCTAAAAGGATGCCATTTTGTGTATTATTATTTATTCATTTGTTAGGGAAAGTGCACATTAATCAACATCTGAATGTTTATTCAGACATTATCCATGAATATAAATATACTTTCAGTGTTTCCTGGTAAACAGATTTTTGGTGAAAGGCTAGTTTCACCACAACCAGCTGTTTCAAACTGCTCTATAGACATACTCTGCACTGTTGCTGTTATTTTTCCACACAGAGTTTAGCACACTGTGTGTCTGTCTTCCTGTCAGGGTGAATCAAGAGGTGTCAGCAGACTCCAGAGAAGCTAAGAGTTATCTGAAGAGCCAGAGCACCAAACCGGAGGAGAATGGTGACGAAGAGAAGAGGTCATCGGCCAGCCAAGCGCATCTTCCTGGCCCCAGGTACCCACACACGTCTTTACATAACATAACATTCAACCCCAACACCAACATATACAGATGAATTCATGATGAATGAATGGATTAGATGCAGTGTTTCTCCTGTGAGCACTGTCTGCCTCTGCTCATTCTTCAAAGGACATCTAAATGAAAGGTGCTGTTATAACAGCAGCGCGGCTCCTTAAATGAATAGGGCAGTATGTAATGTGTGTGGTTGACTGAATGTTTGAGTGTGAGCAGAAAGTGAAAGCGAGGGGAGCAGAGGAAAAGATGAGTAGTAAGTCTGTATGTCAGTCTGGCAGTAAATGTACAGTTTACTGGCTGTCTGTCTGTTATTTCCCAACAGCTGGAATAGTGAAGGGGGTTAGCTCTAGCTAACATCTCCCCTGGGCTTCAGACTCTGGTCTGGAAGCTGAGCAAGAAAGCTTACTGTATTTTAACATTAGTTACATTTATAGGAAGAAACATTAATTAGCCGCATGTCATAACTACCTACTTGTCCAGTGTTACGAACACCAGTCACAAGTTAAGACTAAGACTAGCAGTCATCTTATGTGCATGTGTTCTCGCACAGACTTCACTCAGTAAATAAACTGGTAGGCTATGAACTTACGTTACAAGTCACGGAGGATATTTTACGCACGGACCAGGTAAAGCAACATTGAACACACAGGGTGCAGATGTTGGTTTCAGTTGTTTGATAGGCTGCGTCATTAATAAGCCAACATGCTGCTCACCTGCTGCCGTGATAACGGATCGCAGGTGGAAATATACAATAATAAGAATGTTAGTGGTCATTAAAACCTGCTTTCACAGGGTGGTATAATGTGAAAATTTGAGATTTTGTTGCTGGGGGTGCAGGTTTTTACAATGACGATGCTGGCTCAACGTCTGTCTGTCAGCCGTGGACGATGGCATCGTCTATCAGCATAACCCTAATGTCTAATGACCCTGAGGTCATATTAACAGGGTTTCCCTGTCGTTATAAGGTTTATGTGGTGAGGCCCAAAACAGCTGGGGGGCTGTGCCATGAATTTAAAATCACTGTGGAGAACTAACTAAATGTCTTCCTCCAGTAGACTTCTTCTGATATGTTGGCTAACTAATGAATGGCACTGCAAGTGGTCTTGGTGACAGGACCTTCACCACAAAGGAGCTCCAGCGTTGCCTGAGGCATCACATTTGAAGTAATAGTGGTAGAAACTTTAAAGAGATGTGGATATTTGTTGTCTTGTCGAGTAGACTAATCGAAATTAGACTCTATTCACCCTGCACTGTATTTTAGCAATCCTAGGTGTGTGGCAGTTCATTTTGTATTTGAGCTTTCATTTAGACATCAGTGGACTGAATTTCCCCATTACTGTAGGCACTGTGTGTGTGTGCGCACGCGCTTTTCCTTTCCTCCTGTTTTAATACCTTTTGTTGCCATGGCAATAAGTCATCTGGGGATGTGCACATCTTCCCTCCAAAATCCCAGACAGGAAACAGGAAATCATCTTCCAGCAGACAGGAAGTGCAGTGTCTCCAAAAGCTATAAGTTATTTTCCTATTTATCTCAGTTGTGTGTCTGTGTCTGTGGGACACCCAGCAAACAGGAAAGGGCCATCAGCACCACTCCCTCGTTAACCTTGTGTGAGGTTAGTGTTTGTTTGTTGCAGATTGGGATGATAGCACGGCTCTTATGTAACATGGCAGCAGCAGCAGTGTGTGTTACTGCAGGACGGCAGCTTTCTGTGCAGAGTTTTGCTGTGGAATGTGAAAATGTAGAAAACAGAGGAGCAGGTCCTCCTTCAAGTGTTCCAGAATGTGTTTATTAAAATGAAATATTGAGTGGAGCGTCTTTTTAATGTTGTGGTGTTAAATTGTAAAATGATGTCAGCCTCTCATTCCCAGTGAAGTTTTAACAGGGTGCCTGTAGGGCCTTATAAAGGCTTGAATGCAGTTTTATTCAGTACAAGGAGCAACTTTTATTTCATTACACAACTTTGTATGATGAAATGAAAATTTGTAGTCTCTTCATGCTACACACATAGAACTAAAACTTTGCTCCGGTGAACAGGTGACAAGCGCTCTGCGACTAAACGGCAGCGCTCTATGGAGAGTAACCATGGCTCTGATTTGATTACATTACAATACTGTGTTTGCAAACCACATTATTGCACTTTTGTGTATATAGCAGTACATTTAAATTAAAAGTGGCAATATACTACTTTCGAATTCATTATCTGAGTCTGACATTTGGGAAACAGAGTCCATCATGACTGCGTTGGAGCACCAAGCATCATCGACGTAAACGTAAAGTCCGCCTCCTCTCATCTTGCCAGAGTCTTGTGCTCTGACAGCTTGGAACATGCTCTGCAGGTCTCTGTAGATACGTGTGCACAACGGTCTCTGACTTCTGTTGCTTAGCCAACCTGAGTCCCATTTTGTCGAGACTGGACTTTTAGGAGCAGCCCTAAGTCCTTGGCGAGCATGGTACCTATACCGGCTCTCTTTCCTTTCCTCTGAGAGGCCACCACACTTGCAGTGGTGCATCGTCTGGTGGATCTGTCTAAAGTCCAAAAACCCAGCTTCCTTCCCCAGTGACTGTATTTCTGTCATAGGTAACACGTGTTTCAGCAATAAGACTGAAAAATGCTGATGAAAAACAAAAGTATAGTGAAGTTTGAAGGCGCTATCAGCTGCTGCATCTACATGTGCTGATGTTGCCATAAAAAACTTAAATGTATTATTGAATAAAAAAAAACATTTTTGCAGATTTCTTTTACAACAGAATCAGGACCACCAGGTGCACATTTTAGACAGAGAAGATGGATGGTTTGAAAGAGGTGTCAAGGAAGCATCTACACCAGGGTTGAGAAGCCGTCATTGAACAGGGGAGGGGGTCTACGCCACCACTTATCCCCCACTTACAATGCTGTCCTTTCATCACTTCCCAGGAAACTCAACAACAAACGTAACCTATTGGCCTCAGGTGAAGATGCCAACGATGGTCGTTCAGTCTTGGCCACAGGTAGTCTTAACGACTGTAATGACTGTCGTCACAGCAACAAGGAACACTAACGAACCAGCGGTATCGATGACCCGGGCCAACGACCCCACTGAGGTTAAATAGCTGAGTTTCCCTGCCAGTCAGTCAGAACTGAAGAAGTCCTTTGGATGAGGGACGAAACATCTTCCAGTATCTTCAACCAAGTCCAGTTGCCCTTCATTTTAACCCCTCGTTGGATAACTATGACCTGGATGACTGAGAATCTTCATAGACAACAGAATCAGGAGTTTTGATGTACCGTTTCTCTTTCTGAGAGTGAGATGTTCAGATGGATATCCATCTCATGTCTGTGTGTTAAATACAGAGCTGCAGTGAGGGTGTTAGTTTAGCTTAGCATAAAGACTGGAAGGTATTCTAAAAAACATTAGAAAAAAAAAACGCACCTCGAGACCGTGGACTCCTATATCGCGGATTCAGTCTCAGTTTCCTAACCGTGACATGTTATAAATAATAAGTGTCTGTAGGTGTATTTTGAGCTTCGAACAGAGCAAATGCCAGCTGTTTCCCTCTGCCTTTATGCTAAGCTATGCTAACCACGTCCTGACTCCAGCTCCAAACAGACAACAAACACACAGACATGATGGACATCGCTCAACTTTTCATCTTACTCCCAAAAGGAAAGGGAATAAGCATGTTGACCTACTCTAACATATTGTACAGCTCTGTTTACCTGAGCATTAACCTTTATACTCCCAGCTGCTCCTGACTGCAGGCGCAAAGCTTGTTGCAAGTACATTTGCAGTTTACTAGATGTCCAGGCTTTATATATGACATTACAATGTTCAAAAAGTAACAAGCCTGATTAAATTGTACCACTAACTTAACATTAAATGTAACTCTCTAATATAGACAAACAACCTGTTTGAACCTTTATACTAAATGGGTTTGGGTTATGGATATGTACTTAGATGCAGCAGGGTCCAACCAATAAACTCTCATTTTATTTCCATAAATGGAAAAAAAAAGTATCAAATATTTATGAAATGGTGTTACACAAGATTCCACTGTAAGGGTTTAGTTTAACTGAAGGTGACAGTTTCTCAGGAAAATGTCTGCAGAATGGATTTAGCATCACTGCTGGTTATTAAGTAATGCATGTCCCGGGGAGATGCAGAGACATCAGTAAGAATCACAAACAAACAGCAAAACAGAAGCCACACATGCTACACTTACAAGAAATTCTAGTGTCTGAATATATTAACAGTACAGGTGGAAGAGATTAACTGTGGCTGCAGTGCAAGCCCACTCTGAAGTTATTGGACTATTCATGAACACGTCTCAGCCTGCACAAGGACACGTGTTAGGACACACGCACACACTTGAAGCAGGAGCACTACAGCAGCTGGCTTGGCTGTGTGTGGTGAAGCACTAGGAATAGAGACTATACAGAGAACCAAGATGTTTAGTCATAGAAGGAGTTTGCACTGCACACTATAAACTAAACTAGCAAATTTGAATTGTCTCAATTTAAAGCCGTGTTAAAATACTCTAAACAAGTTTGGAAATGTGGCATTTGGTTGAGCTTCACTGCATGAGCAAACCAAACATCAACACATTGCACATACATTTAAGTGCTTTAATGAGGTTCTTGTGGCTGTGTGTAATTGTGGAATACCAACATGACTGTAATTATCAGTGTCAGTGTCCGGTCATGCAGCAGTAAATGAAAAGCTCGGCCTACTGTGGTCTCCAGTAGAACGTGCTTTCACAAAACTTTAAACTTATGCTTATTAGTCATTCAACTTAAATCTCATCACTGCTCACTCTTAATCATGCTTTATCATTCAACTTGAACCTCCTCATCAGACTGTTCACTTTCTACAATCAGCCTCTTCTGGGCTCCTGGTTCTGACAGAGCCCTGGGGCCACAGCATCACAAGGTTTGTGGGATCACCATTTTTTTATACAGCCCATGGATCATTCTCCTTGATCTGTGGGGAGGACAGCAGGACCAACAGAAGATCTGACTGGACCGCCATCTACCTGCTAAAAGCACTCCTAGTACAACTTTTGTAATCCGCTCCTAACACTAGCTTTCACGCTGGCTTATTTCACGGGGGTATTCGGCCAACCTGCCGGCTTGCTGCACTTTATGAAATGTATGGAGCAGATTTTATCCGCCTCTGAGCAGGGAAAGTTGATGACAGACAGAGACAGAAAGACGGAACGATCTGTTTGTGAAAAGCCACAGCTGACGTGCCGCGGCACGCCGCTGGTTCCTCTGGACAGCTACGTGACTGCGGGATAAAGGCCTTTTCACATGGGATAAAGCTGCAAACTTTTGTTCAGTATGAAGAAGCGAATGCAACGTAAATGCGGATATCCTTTCCGCGCTGATCTCCGTATGAAAGCGGCTACACTCTCATGGTGCGTTCCATTTGATTTGGGAAGTCGGAAATTTAAAAGTCGGATCTCCTACTTGGAAAGTCGGAGCACGGCACTACCATGGGGTAGTGTATCTTGTATCTCAAGATGGCTGCTCTGAGTATCTGAGTAAGCTGTAGTTTATATTGTTTATTAGTACTTCTGTGTACTTGTGTCTCATATAAATTTTCCAACACAAAGTGTGACAGTTCACTTCCCCAGTCCGACTGCTGTTGTGCCGTTGCCTGTTGTGGGCTACCTTCCTGCTGGCTTGGCTTCACAGCATCTGTTGATGGGTCAAGCCTCTGTGGTCTTGGTGACAGCGTCTGGTCTGGACGTTAAAACGAGACCGTTTGGATCTCACTCTTCGTATGGCCCTGATTAATGTCAGATCACAGGCCAAGAAAACTTTTGTGCGGAATTACTTTTTTACATCCCATAAATTGGACTTTATGCTGCTGACCGAGACTTGGCCTCTTGTTGGTGAGTCCGCCCCCTTTTCTGAGCTCCTCCCTTCAGACTGTACATTTTTTAGGTCTCTGTGCACCACTGGCAAAGGTGGAGTACTTGCCACCTTCCAGTGTGGGCTGTCTGCATCTGTCACCTATTCTATTTGAATGAAACGGATCCTCTCGGACGCTGTGTGCGGTTGTGTATCGTCCACCGGAATTCAACAAGGATTTTATGCAAGAGTTTGCTGATTTTATAGCAGGTATCAGGTTAAACTATGACCATTTTATAATTTCTGGTGACTTTAATTTACATGTATGCTGTGATCCACCTGCAACGCACAAATCTCCCGGTGCAGACTCACTCCCTGCTCATTTTTATACATAAAATATTTAAAAAATGTTTGCAGGTCACAGATGTGCGAGTAGTTGTAAAAAATACCGTCTCAAAAAATGTTGCAAAATGCAAGCATTTTGGTTGCTGTCTGGAGCCCTGCTGAGTGTGGCTTTGAGTTGAGCTCATGCATTTTCATCGGCCCCTCTCTTGTTACGCAGTCTCTGCATGTACACAGTCGTACAAGGCTCCATGACAGAGTTGTTTGTTCTAGAAACAGCTGATACTGAAATCCTCTCTTTGTCACACACAGTGCAACTCCCAGTGTAACTTTCATACCTGTTCACCGTGATGAATACATTTGTTCCAGTTTACTGTAGTGATGTGCATCTGGTGGAATCCTTCCACTTCTGTTCATGTGAGTTTAAAAAGTCATTTTGACTGAGAAGACTGTGACAGAATAAGATGACCATAGAACAGAAACATTTGCTTTGTCCTTCATTATAATGTTTCTGCCATGTAGCAGGAGCATGATTGGCTGCTGTAGCATTTCACCTTGAGTGTGAGTCTATTTGGGTCAACTAAAGGTTCCCCCTCTTGTGTTTGCAGCGCCAAGCGGCCGGCTGGCATGACGAGCCTCCTGAGTCGTATCGGGGGGAAAAAACCCAAGATGAGCACACTGGAAAAATCTAAGATGGACTGGGACGCTTTTAAATCAGAGGAGGGCATCACTGAGGAGCTGGCCATCCACAACCGAGGCAGAGAGGGGTAAGAGACTGTCAGTGTGCGGTGGTGTTCACCTGTGAAGTGTTCATTGGAATTGGAATAAAATGCTAGGGTTTAACTCCTACTACATCATTAGGGCTTTTACTGAATCCTAAAACACATGTTGCCTTTTAGCTGGAAGCAATTACTGCTTTCAGCTAAACAGCAGCAGACTTGAGTCTAGCATTTAGCATTGATGGATTCAAATGTCAGTTCAGTTCTCATGATCCATGTTGAGTAGCAGTGGATATGTTGTACAGAGAGTGTAGAAAATGCAGTACAGAAATTAAATGTTTTGAAAAAGGCAATTTTGAGGTCACCGTGCTATTTGCTAACTATGGAGCCACATGCCAAAGAATGGCAGTCAGTCTGTTCTGCTGTTCATCACTTCTACTGTTTCTACCGGTTTGACAAAACTGTAAACAAGGCTGCAGGAAGTACAGTGGGCTGGGGTTGAAGCAGTGATCTTTAAGAAAAGAAACAGCAGCTCACTGTGTCTCCGTCCGTCTCTGATCTACTTCAGTACTTGAATTTCTCCAGACCTGCATGGGTTTGAGGTGTGGCTATATGCAGTTAGAGCTCAGCAATAAATGAAGATAAGGTTAATACTATGAATAATTCCATCATAGATTTAATAATTAATAGCATATAATATGTGATAATTATAATATGGAGATACAGTGTCCAGTGAGTACTTACAGGGCTAGATGGCAAGCTACTGTAGCTGACAGGCTAACTACAAACATACCAGCCAGCCACCCCAGGGGAATATCCTGAGTGTGTACTGCACTCTGTTAGCTGCTTAATTGTCATTCTGTGCCTGTCTTACACACACACACACACACACACACACACACACACACACACACACACACTGATACCAACATGTACTAACTACTTCTAACCAAGCAAAAGGAAGGGGGCTACTCAGACACAATAGGGACTCAAATCATTCTTTGCGCACGCACGCACGCACGCACGCACAGGGGGAAAATTGTGTAACTGCTTCCTGTGCCAGGTGGAGAGAGGTGTGTGTGTGTGTGTGTGTGAGATGAGCACATTGCTTCTATATTTGTCCTTAATTGTATTTTTAGTATGTGTTTGTACTTGATCAAAGTAGGTCTGATGTTCTGTGTGTGTGTTTTAGGTATGTGGAGAGGAAGAACTTCTTGGAGCGCGTCGACCACCGGCAGTTTGAGATAGAAAAAGCTGTGCGACTGAGCAACATGAAACAGTGAAACTCACAGTACACACACACAGCGTGGAACCGATGTTTAGACTTCCTGTATCCAGCTTTCTCTCTCCCTCTAATGACAGAGTTGCTATTCCCCCACTAAGAGGAGTTCTGGTGCTGTGGCTTGAGTCTATATCAGGATGGGGATATTAATAGGCAGTGTGTGTGGTGGGGTGGGGTGAGTGTTCCTGTACTTCCATCCTTTTGAGAACCAATTTGAGTTTCAAACCTTTACAGTGAGGACGTTTTTGGAAAGTGAGGTTGTTCTTGGTTATTCTGGTCTATTTACAACTTTTGTCTTATTTTTGTAGTTGTGACCATTATTTCTAACTGTAATTAATAACATTGTACCTAACAAGTTAAGTGCTGAGATGTGGGAACACAGTGACAGTCACTGAAAAAATGTATCTCATAAATACTTTAATGCATATGTTAGGATCTGGTTAAGGTTGCATTAAAGGTTGAGGTTGGGTCGGACAGCGGGTATTTTTTGGCACTGTAAATTTCCCTTTAAAGTTCACCTTCAGACCCTGCTTCCACATGGCAAGAACATGTTATCTGTGCAGTCAGTCGATCTCAGCCAGGTGTAATCTACATCTATAGAGGGTGATCTCATCCTGAGGAGAAAAAAATACCCCAAGAAGTTGAAAGGTCACCTATAACTCCGCCTCTTTCTGCTACCTCAAGCTGCTCAACAAAAAGCTTCAGGTGCTACCTTCCTCGGCAAAAGAAAACTGTTTCAGCGGTGTCAGATGGTTTGAACTCGAGTCAGGAGAGTTTCATGTCCATCAAAGTTTTAGAAATACTCCAAGCGATAGTCACCTAATATTGCAGAAGGAATCCTGCCCCAGACACTACGTTACGTAGTGCTGATGGTTAAAGCCCCCATGTGTAGGTTTTGAACATTTCTGACTTTATCATTTCCTATTTGTACAATAAAATAACACAGGAGTGAATGAATGCTGTGAGGTTTGATATGTGTCAGATGTTTGGTTAGATTCAGACCATTTTTGACTATCTTCCATTCTTTCAGTGTTGATGTAATGCCTTTTAAGTTTGAACATTTTCATACTTTGTATCATGAGACACTGAAACACCATGCTGACCACTGAAATGCTGATAATGTGTTCATGCTTTCTGCGGACCCTGTAATGTGTACTACAGTAGAAGTGTAATCAGCCAGATCCATCATATCAGCGGAGGAGCACACTGGTTGGAGCAGATGTGATGGCTGATATCGGCCTGTCCATCAGGTGTTGCTTTGTCCTGTTGAGCTGACAGGTGGAGCGTATGCATTGTTAGTTTGACTGGAGGTTTGATACAGTGCTCTGTTTCTTCATGTAAAAGTTAAACATCCAATAAACACAAACGGATCATTTTAAGTCTGCTGGCTGATTTATTTTTCTTTGCTGAGATGCCAAACTGTTCCTGCTGTAATTCTACTGCTGACTGCACTGACCACCTGCTTTATTTTGTTAGTGCATGACAGGAAGAGCAATGTATTGGATAGCACTGTTGGCGGCCGCACCCTCACACCCCATACCAAAAGGCTTATTGTAATGTGTATCAGTGTAGTTGTCCATGTAAAAAATTGGAAATAGTATAGTAAAATAATAGTAGTTTGACAAAATGATCTTAACTCGAGGTCCAACAGCATCTCATGGTTCAGCATCAAATTGAAGTTGACTTAATTGTCATGGAGATGGCTCTGTTTTCATTACTAGCCAACTCCATGACAGCTGAGCCAGTTAGGACTGAACTTCCACGATCAGATCTGATCCTGTTTTTCATTTGTCAGATCAGGGAGCTCAAACCTCTAAGCCCTGTCCAGAAAACTGAAAACATAAGTCCAAATCGAAACGTCCCCTGTGAAGTTTTCTTCATAAATTTAAACTGTTTACCTGTTCGTTTGTTGGATGAATATAATCTAATCATGATGATGATGAAATCCATCAACTGCAGTATGTCAGGTGGACCACAATGACTGGATCAGACTAGAATTGACTAAAACGACATCAGCATTCTGTATATCCTCTACAATGGATTGTGAATGTGTCTGAAAATAGCTTCTGTTGTTTAAACCACAGCAGGGATTCTGATTGTGTTCCTGCAGAAAACACACACACACACACACACACACACACACTGACACACAAATAGTCAGAAAGGGCAGCTGGGCTCAGCCATACCACACACCATCCTGACAATTCATCCATTCCAGCTATTCCAATCATAAAGACCTACTGATTTCAAGCAGCTCTCTGTTACCAGAGGTGTGTTTATGAATAACAGACTCAGTTTCCAGAGTTTGCTAATAGATTTTCAAATTGTAAGGAGAGATGTGAGGACCTCTGCATGCAGTACAAACATGTTGAAATGTCTTCATACTGCATATGTTCTTTAATATTGAAATTGAACACTGGTCTATGTTGTATAGTGAACCAATACCGTATTTAAACCATTCAAATCTCCCAAACATACAGCAGCATGACCTGCAGAGCAGCTGTCTGCAGGCTGATGTTAAGTTTTATTAGATCTTAGTGCTGCATTTGATACCATTGACCATCAGATCCTATTACAGAGACTGGAACATTTCATTAAAGGAACCGCTCTAAGCTGGTTTAAGTCCTATTTATCAGATCGATTTCAGTTTGTACATGTTAACGAGTCTTCCATGCACGCCAAAGTTAGTCATGGAGTTCCACAAGGATCTGTCCTCGGACCAATCCTGTTCACTTTATATATGCTTCCTTTAGGCAATATTATCAGGAAATGTTCCATAAGCTTTCATTGTTATGCAGATGATACTCAGTTATATCTATCGATCAAACCAGATGAAACTAATCAGTTAGCTAAACTTCAAATGTGCCTTCAGGATGTTAAAACCTGGATGACCTGTAATTTTCTAATGTTAAACTCAGATAAAACTGAAGTTATTGTTCTGGGGCCTAAGCACCTCCGTGATACATTATCTAAAGATATAGTTTCCCTGGATGGCATCGCCCTGGCCTCCAGCACCACTGTGAGGAATCTTGGAGTTATCTTTGATCAGGACATGTCATTTAAGTCTCACATTAAGCAAATTTCAAGGACCGCCTTTTTTCACCTTTGTAATATTATAATCAGGAACATCCTGTCTAAAAATGATGCAGAAAAACTAGTCCACACATTTGTTATTTCTAGGCTGGATTACTGCAATTCCTTATTATCAGGCTGCTCGAAAAAGTCCATTAAGACTCTTCAGCTGATCCAGAATGCTGCAGCACGTGTTCTGACAGGAACCATAGGATAGGATCATATTTCTCCTGTTTTAGCTTCTTTGCATTGGCTTCCAGTAAAATCCAGAATAGAATTTAAAATCATTCTTCTTACCTACAAAGCTCTTAATGGTCAGTCACCATCTTATCTTAAAGAGCTCATAGTACCTTACTACCCCACCAGAGCACTGCGCTCCCAGAATGCAGGGTTACTTGTGGTTCCTAGAGTCTCCAAAAGTAGACTAGGAGACAGAGCGTTCAGCTATCAAGCTCCTCTCCTGTGGAACCAGGTTCCAGTTTGGGTTCAGGAGGCAGACACCATCTCCACATTTAAGAGTAGGCTTAAGACTTTCCTCTTTGATAAAGCTTATAGTTAGGGCTGGCTCAGGTGAGTCCTGAACCATCCCTTAGTTATGCTGCTATAGGCCTAGACTGCCGGGGGATTTCCCACGATGCACTGAGCTCCTCTCTCCTCTACTTTCTCTCCCTCTGTATGCAACCTCATCCCATTATTGCATGTTACTAACACAACTTCTCCCCTTTCTGGTAGTCTTGTGCTTTCTCGTCCCTCTCCTCTCTCCTCCTATCACTTCCTGCAGGTGTTTCTGGCTCTGGAGCTGTGGAGTCTGGATCTGTGGTTGCGAGTCACCTGCTACAACTATTGTTACTAGTCCTATTGTTATTATTGTTATTATTATCATTAACATTACGATTATTATCACAGGCATTACTGTATTTATCTGTACCATTTTTCATTTAGTCTATAGCAACATCACCTTTACTGTCTGTACCTCTGTGCGCATATTATGTAGGCTGCCTTCCATCTCTCTCTCTCTCTCTCTGTCTCTCTGCCCTCTCTCTCTCTCTCTCTCTCACCCCAACCGGTCGAGGCAGATGGCCGCCCACCCTGAGCCATGGTTCTGCTCGAGGTTTCTGCCTCTTAAAAGGAAGTTTTTCCTTGCCTCTGTCGCCTAGTGCTGCTCTTGGTGGGAACTGTTGGGCTTCTGTAAATATCATGGCAGAGTATGGTCTAGACCTGCTCTTTTATGAAAAGCGCTGTGAGATAACTGTTTGGCGCTATATAAATAAAATTGAATTGGACTGAATATACATCATTTGTAGTAAATTGTCCTTTAAAGGTGTGTTCCATAAATGCCCCTTTGGTACCGTGCAGTGGAGGTGAAGTGCGCTGTAGGTTGTGGGAAGTGAAGTCCTTGCAGTGAGACTGTTCCTTTAAGGCTGGCCGGGATCGTCCCTGTGGGCGCACGGCAGCAGACAGCGGCAGAGGCGGCGCTCTTCCCCGTCCGCTAACGGTACAGACCTGTCAGCATAACGGCGGTCGCTTCACCTCCCGTGTCATCTTTTACTAGCTTTACTGAAACATTCCTAAAGGGGTCGGAGAAAGAATCCGTGGGAGAAGAGAGGAGCGGCGTAGGGACACGCAGGGCGGGAGGCGGAGTAGAGAGAGCCGGGTCTGCTGGACGCTGAGGCGGCCGCGCCGCTGCTGCTGCTGCTGCCGCCGCAAAGCCTGCTTTTTCTGCGGACACATTTTACACTTTCACTCCCGACTCAGCGAAGCCCCGACCCCTCTGTGGAGCTGGATGTTTGCCTTTCCTACAGATTTCACCATGGAATGGATGAAGGAGGACTGACACTTGGGGAGCCGTGAAGAAAAGATCGATCTGTTGGAAAAGTAGCATCTGGAAAAAGCCCACCAGGAGCCGAGGAGAGTGACAGCAGCAGCAAAATGTCTGTCCCTGTAAGTATGCCAGCCCCGAGGCTCAGGAAATACTTTTTTTCTGTCCTTCAACGTTTGCTATTAGCTGCTTAGGGGTGATTCTTCTTCATGGTAGAGCAAGACTTAACACGGTTTACCAATTGACAGTTCTTCTCCATCCAGCACACACCCAGGTAAACCGTTCCACCAAGCACCACTATTAAAATATCAACTTTCAGAACTGATATTAGCCTGTTGGTCATTAAAATCGCTGGCTGCTGTAAGCCCATTCTGAAAATGCACACTACATTGGACTTTAGTGTTAACGTCACTTGGTTAGTCTGCTGGAAGAACCAATTGACTGCTATGCTCAAGTGTAATACCAGCTAGCTACTGGAGCTTTGCTCATTAGTAAAGGGGCATTAATGTGCCAGGTCTGTGAGTGCTCTTTGGTTGAAGGCCCTATACTGGGTCTGTAGTGTTATACTGTAGCTATTCTGGGCAGGCCTGGCCTGTCAACACACAGACACAGCTGATCTCACTGCTTGTGTGTGTTCTTGGGATGGATTTATGTCTGGGATTTTCTAGTGCAGGCTGCTGCTGTTGTTCTTCATCACATTCCTCAGGATCTGTTTCACAAACTCTGCCTGGAGTGAGTGTGTGTGTGTGTGTGTGTGTGTGTGTGTGTGCACGTGTCAGCCCTGTGTAGTCAGCTACACCACAAATGGAAAACGGCTTACATTTATTGGATGACTTCCATCATTAGGAATGCACACTGGTGACAATGAAATTTCCACTGTCCATGTGGTTGATAATACTTCATTTCCTCAGCAGAGTACCATATGTGTAGTTTCAGAGTACCTGTTGTGCTGTATACACAAGCAGATGTGCACTCCATAAAACACTGCTTCGTTATGCCCAGATTCATTGCTAGTACTAGTTGATTTCCAGTGGGATTTCAGAGGGAATTCACGAGTGTGTGCATGTTTGCTCTTGCATTTTTTGTTGCCACAGGCTTTTAAAGCCTTCTTGGAATATGCTGTCAGTTTTTGTAAAATGAAAATGAAAATATGCTCCTTTCAGGCACTGCCAGTTGATTGTAAAATGCACATAAAGTTAGATATCACCTATAACCAACCAAAGTTGGCATGTACTGTCGAACATGTAGAACATTAGAACATTAGAACAGAATAGCCTATTGTAGCTATTAAGGCTTATGCACTAGTAAATAACTAGTGAATCACATATGAAGTATATAAAGGTATGTTTTGTGATGTGTTGTTGATTGACAGCTCTCTCGGCATATCAGAGCCAGCTGTGGTGGTTGCTGCTCTCTACAGAGGACCAGGCTGTCATCTGTATGAATGTATATTAGTCGCAGTGTGGAAAGGTGTTGGTCTCCACCCGCTGAGGTGCCGAGGTGGGACTGCTGTTCACTTTGTCAGTGTGGAAGGATGTGTTCTGATCTGCTATACCTGGCATGCACACACAGACCTGCTGCCTCCTGCTGTCTGACGAGACACTCAAACATGTGCGTTCCTGACACGGGAACACAAAGGCAGAAATTGTGATGATGCCATTAAAGTGTGTGTGTGTGGGTGTGGATGATACAGACAGACAGACACCAAATGTTCAGCTGGGTGCTTCTCAAACTGTGAAATATCAGTTGAAAAGCTTACTTTTCAGGATAACCTCATGTTTTACAGTGGTCTCTGGAGGGATACATATGTTTAAGCCATTGGTTAGAAATGTTTCAGTATTGTTTCAGAGAAAGCTTGAGCCATAATCCAAAATTGATCAGAAATCCAAACTGGATGAGTCCATTTGCTCATTTTATGAGTTCTACAAAGCTTAGCTTCTAATTTCATTCCAGCATTAGTTGTGTGACAGCAGAATGTGAAGTGTGCTGATATAGGTCACTGAATTGGCTAAGAAATCTGAGGATTGCCCTGATCAGGTCATGAGAATCACTGACTGGTTCCTGTTCTCAGATATCTTTTACAGATCACCTCTGCATAAGAGACCCTGTAAGTATGTTTCTTTAATGTTCTGTAGCCATGCGAGCGGCACAGCTCTGTGGATGGAAGTTCTTCAGTTGGCTGTTCCTCCATTTGTTCCAGACTGAAATATCTCAACAACGTTTGGATGGATGGCTATCACTTTGCTTCACAGGACAAATTATAATAACTGTGGCAAACCTCACTAGCATGGCTTGAGACTCTTAGTTGTGTTTTCATAAAGTCCTCCAGTCATATCATTTGTAACTCCACATGGAACTCCTCTGTAAAAGTAAATTTAAGACTATTGTAACCTTTAAGTGAGTTTAAAACTGCAGTGAAAGAATTACAATTCTACAAGAATTAATTATCAAAATTGTTGGTTAGTATTCTGTTTATCGACTAATCAATAATGCAACCGATTATTTCAGATCCACTCGGTATGATCGGTGATGATGATACAAGATAGTTCATTTCTTGTGTTGAATATGTGTTGGCAATGCAGTATGAGCAGTCAAAGAAACGGACTGGACTGTTTGTTGAAATTCCAGTGCATTGTCATTGGTTGTTTTAAAATATTAATTTAAATGAAGGGATTCTGATGATCGTATAATTTAGGGCTGTAAAAGATTCATGTCTGTAATTACTGGACACACACAAACAGCATTTCATGGTGGTGGTAGTGTTGGTTCAGCAGCATGTTGCCATGGTTACAGAGAAATAATAAGTGTTTACCTACTAGTGGTGTCTGCTGGTGTGCGTGTGCACATGCACACTGTGTATTTGCTCAATAAGCTGGAGCAAGGAAGTGCATTGTGAGGTGTATTTGCTGTGTACTCCAGATGTTCTCAGGTACCGCTCTGTTACTCTGATACTGACATCTGGTACTGACATCATTAGTGACATCACCACACAGAGCAGAATCAGCCAGTGACCTCCTAGCTTCCACAGCAACCGTTCCCATGATCCCTCTCACCTGGTCAATGTCACATTTATCTGTGCTGTCTCTCCCAATGCGCGCGGACACACACACACACACACACACACACACACACACACACACACACACACTCACAGCTTTCCATGACGCACATGAGCATGGCAGGTTTGCTCCTAGAAAGTGTCTGATTTTGAAGCATGTTAGACTGAGCGTGGGAAAGCTGATGTGGGATGATCCTGAGTGATTGCTCTGCTTCTGTGTGGAGCTCAGCCTAGCTGACTGGCTGGAGGCTCCTCTAGTGTCCATTAGTCTTTTGCTCACGCTTACATGTGGCATCAGAGAAGGGCTGACCTGACAGGTGTTTACATCATTCATGCACACAGACACAATAATAAATGCGTGCATACACAATTCACCTTGAACTCATTGACACCTGAAGCTCACTACCTTTAACAAAAACGTTTTAATTAAATCATTACACTGATGGAAAACATGTAAGTCAGAAGCTCCTGTGACATGAGATAGCTTATACACACACAAACACACACATATATATATATATATAGTAGGGTTGGGCTGATAGACGATGCCATTGGTCCATTGGCGATGGCTGACAGACATCACGACGTAGAGCCGGCATCGTGATTATAAACCCCCCCCCAGCAAAAAATAATCCCAAATTTTCACATTATACCACCCTGTGAAAGCAGGTATTAATGACCACACACATTCTTCTTATTGTTTATTTTTCTTCTTATTGTTTTATTTTTGTTGTAAGTATGCTTTGCACCTGCCTCGGAGTTATTCTCTTCTCTTCTCCGACACACCTACGCCTCAGGTAAACACCGCCTCTCTCTCCCCCTGTCTGCTCCATTTTCTCTGTCAGCAGTAGGCTGTTTTATAAAGTCGATGGAGAATTTGTGTTTTTTCCGTATATTTCCACCTGTGAACGGTAGCAGGTGAGCCGCACGTTGGCTTATTAATGACGCAGCTATCAAACAACTGAAACCAACATCGGCACCCTGTGTGTTCACTGCTGCTTTACCTGGTCCGTGTGAAAAATATCCACCGTGACTTGTAATGTAAGTTAATAGTCTGCCATTTTTTTTAACTGAGGTCTGTGCGAGAACACATGCACATACGACAACTGCTGCCCTGCCAAACAGTTATCTCACATCGCCCAACTCTATGTTGGAGGCTACGCTGTTGACAAACGTGATTGTAGATTGCATTCAACCGCAGGTCACCAACGTTATCATAGACGGCATGATTTAGACAGATGGGGGTTGAGAAATGGTTTCTCGTAGCTTCGGTTAGAATTCAAGAGTGCTGGTAAAGCCCTCAATATACTTGCTTTTTAACAATGCGTAGGCGTAGACAGGCGTCTGCAATGCAAACGGCACTTTTCACATACTTGCCTGTGTACTTTGCGTGTACCTGGAGGATTAAACCTGAATCCACTAGGGGGCAGACCAGGACTGGATCATCCCTCCCCGACACCGGATTATCTTCCTTGACAGCCTCCGAATTTGCACATCGTAAACAAACCAAACATACCCACACTCGAGCAACTGCATACAGTTCATGTGCAATTGTTTAGGTGTTCACTTTTTGAGACTGAATCTATTTTATTAACATTCAATCCATTTAGGAAAAGGTTTTATAGCCCACATACAGAACAGCTTTCAATATCTGCCTGTTCTAAGTAACACACACAAGTACAGTAAAAAGGTCTACTATCCAAATCATTCTCAAAATCTAAATATTGGCTCTTTTTCATTTTAATATCGGCATTGGCCCCCAAAAACCCATATCGGTCGTGCTCTAGTTTTAATTGCCTGCATTGTAGTTAGTAACTAGCTAGCTTTTCACTGTCTGGACCAACTCTGCTGTAAAGAGCAGAAGATGCTGTACATAAATACAAACCTATTCTTTCTTTTCTGTGGCAGCAAACACAACACTCAGCCTTTAGTAGGTGTTATACTGCAACCTGAGCTTATCTACTGACTAAAGTAACGTAACTAGACTCGCTTTTACAACAAACCCCCTAGACTCTGTTACACACAGGTTTCCCACAAGCCACCTTCCTTGTAGGGGAAGGCTCG